TCCAAGTGTGAGAGTGAAAATAAAAATTTTACTCCTGGACTTAATTGTGTTATAAGTAGTTGTAGGAGTTTTTGTAACACATAACCTAGAAATAAAGTATGCAGTAACACTAAATAAAGATGCATATATAGATTTATTACTTTATTCTGCTTGTAATGCATCTAAACATTGGTGAGCTTTACTTATAGACATTTTCTGCATGTGATCCCATGACTTAAATTTAAATTGCATAAATATTTTTAAAGTATACAATCATAAGTTGTAAATTACAGGTTATTTTCTGGAAAATTCTGATTGGTTGACACTGGAAGGCATAATAGTTAATAAAATAATTTAGATATTGTACACCCCCTTTCTCTTATAGTATGTCCACGATCATCCAATCCATAAAGCTCCTTAGAAAATATCAAAATATATGTATCAATTTTTGATTGGTTGGTCCCAGATGTCTTTATAACTGTATATGAATACTGTCAATCTGTAACTGCTAATACATTAGTAAAATAATGTATATAATATTAATATACAACATACACTTTTCTACTTATGTAAATACGTATTCAATTAGGTATAACTTTAAAGTTTATACACGTGTTCATGAGTTTGATCACCATCTTACCCATATAAAGGACATTTAATACAACAGCCATGTTTGGAATGATGAGGAATTTGTACATAAATTAAATGATTGCACTTCTACACCTGGTACAGGTATAGAAGACATTCTGGTGAATTAGAAGCAGCATGCTTCTAGTCTACATGTATATTAATTCCTCGTACATATTGATCTGCTCTACAGATACAGATGGATCAAAACATGGCCTATGCAGTTCCCCAGAGGAATGATTGTTAATTTCCACAAAAGTTTTGTATTTATGTATTGTACATACTATAGAGAAAGAAAATATAATTCTATTGATTTCAGTTTAACAATTACTTTTATACATGTACAACATATAGAACATAACTAAACACTGAACAGTCCAAAGTAAAGTTGAAGTTAGTATAGTTTGAACGTAGATTAAAAAGAAATTTATAAAATGTATGATCATCTGTAGCACAAACACAATCTAATGCTGAATACAAAATAATTTACTTTTTTAAACATGATATAGTAATTTAACATATCCTGTCCTGTAATTTTTTATGAGACCTTTTCAAACATATTAGTAGCATAATACTTTTTTTTTTATTGTGAAATATTTGAAGTAACCAGGTGAATGACAATAAGAAGGTAAAGTGCTAATTTTTTCACCATTCCTGTTAACAACTTCTCGGGCAAAATGTGCAATAAAAGCACCACAATATACATGTTGGACAGATAAAAGTAATTGTTATTTAATGAATTAGCTAGTGTATTTTGTAACTGGTGCATGTACAAAATTCCTTGATTTTTTTCTGCACTGCATGTCTTTTACTAATATCAAATTAACTTTTTGCTTAAAAAATCATACTACACATAAAGGGATCTTTTGGACTTTGTGTGAGTGCAATTATGTGCATTACCTAACCTTTACAGCACAGAGCTTCTCTTTATGCAAACACTACATACTTTTTTCTTTAAATTAATACAGATATAGATTATGTTCAGTTTCATGCATAATAAATTAAGGACAACATAACTTTGAATTGCCAGAACAATATTCAATTAAACTCAAACTTATTTTCTTTTCATTTGTATTTTTATCCATTTCTTATGTCAGCCACAAAACAGCTATATTTGCTAACATAATCCTGTGAACTAAAATGCTTGGTCTATTGCTAAACCTATTGGCCTTTTCTTTATTAACCAGGTGGTAGTTTATTTGCAGGAAGCTTTGCAAATAAAAAAACAGAATAATCTAGCATTGATGAGGAAAATGTGACCTTTAACTTTTTGAGGTCAAAAATGTTATGGGATAACACAGGTTGATGATACTGATCTATCAGTTTGGGATTGAGAATGGTAACCTTTGTAAGCAAACATACCTTGATTTTAATGAGCATTTGTAGGCCCTCATCATCTATTTTCTATGGGCTCCTAAGGTAGACATGGTCCACAGGTTGGGAAACACTGCCTTAGAATGTCACATTGAATATTGAAACAACTAAGAAGCTAATGAATTATGTTTAGATTAAGAAAAATTTCACTACAACTTTACCAACAGTGTATACAACATCTAATCCATTCTTGCTGTATTTTTATAAATCAAATAATTGCTGAGAAAAACCAAAGTTCTAAGGTAGTCAACTGCTCTTTAACTTTTTTGAGACCTGGATGCATCAGTTCAACAAACTTGTTATATGGTTTGTTAAATTTCAGTGCAAAAACTAACAAAGTGAAATAGTTTGAAACTGAATTACTTTCTACTGGTTATGTAACTTTTGTAAATAAAATGATATTTTTATATGTGATATATATGTATGAATACACAGCTTTGAAATTTCAAAAAGATTTCATTATGACATTTTTTTCAAGAATTAATTAAAAATGCTTTTTATCTTTGTTGGTTTTAATTACTGATTTCTATGTCTTCCTACATTCTTTAAAACTTCCACATAAAGTATTTCTGTTACAAACTGTACTTTATTTTTTGTTTGATTTACGTAATTCTTCAATAAATTCTGAGGTTCATGTTCCCACTTTGGGTGTAATACCTTTAGCATTATTTTCACAGGCTGTAGGTGGGGGAGACCCATCATTGGATTTCTCTGCTATTATCCATCATGAGATTGATCGTTATATGGGTCAGCCGCCTTCTTCTTCTGAACTTGCCCCACTAATCATCCTGAACAAGCTGAACCTGTTCAGGCCGATAGCCTTTTACACCACCAGATTTTGCCATGTTTTTCTTTACCTTTCCAGAATGAGCTAGGTTTACTAAAACGTTTTTTGACATGATTTCTCAGGTATGTTACATTTTATCCAATTCCCTGTTTCCTATGACTCCTTATTGCCTCCATATTGACTTGTTTGTCATCTTTGGCTCTCACTTTACACACTTTTACACCACCAGATTTTGCCATGTTTTTCTTTACCCCTCCAGAATGAGCTAGGTTTACTAAAACGTTTTTTGACATGATTTCTTAGGTATGTTACATGTTATCCAATTCCCTGTTTTCTATGATTCCTTATTGCCTCCATGTTGACTTGTTTGTCATCTTTGGCTCTCACTTTACACACATGATTTCACTGTAGTTGGGTTTTTCTGGGTTGTGACATGTTTTTGGTCATGTATCTGAGACTTTGGAATCTTGTGTGTAATCTGTGTATCAACACTCGACCCTTTCCTCTTTGGTTGCACATTTTTCGCAGTTAGAGCCATGACACACCCCTATTCCTTTCCTGTCCTGGTCCTGATCTAATCATTCTCATATTCCTTCAAGGGTTTCTCATCTCATTATTTTATTTAAAGTTGATGGGCATGTTGCCAATAGTACCAGAGACTAACCAGAAGGTTCCAGTCCAGTGGGAGCTTGACTATATTATATTGTTACCCTTTGGCAATCTTTCACTACAGTTCCATAGGTTCTTTAGGTTTTATCAGAGAGACCTGTCCTACTATTTCTTTCCTCACCTCCTTTGTCCCTTGTACCCTTTTTCCTTCCCTATGACTTGGGATTCTGCCACCAGTCTGCATCTGCCCAAGGAAGTACAAGATTTTCTGTCTCTACAGGCCATTGCACCTGTTCACCATCTTTTTCCAGGCTGTTTGTTGTCCTGCCACATTTTTATTTTCAATCTTCCCAGTTTTACCTTGGAGTCATTTCTCCCCCTTAGGTGGACTTTGTCTCCAGGTTTATTGATGAGAAAAAGGTATGTCGCGAATGATTATTTGCATATCCCGATATTTTGTCACTCACAACAGTCTCTTTGGTTTATTCCCCACATGGTGGTTTCTCTGTTTGGTGCACTGCCCTTCGAATTTGCTTCTGCCAGGTATGTTTTTTGAGTATTCAGAGCATTTGTTCATCACTTATATGCTATTGGGTTACACTTTCCTTTTTCTTTAATTGACTGGTTACTGTTTGCTCCTTCCAAATAGGAGTCCGCTTGTTACCCTTATCAGCTGTTCCTGGAGGTGGCTCTAATGGGCTGTTAATCAAGTTGGAGAAGTCCTTACTGTGACCTATCCAATATCTTGTTCATTTGGGTGTTTTTTTTTCTACACTCATCTCATATGGTCCTGCCCTTCTCCTCTTTGAATCTGTTTTATGGGTTTTCAGTTCGATTACAGCTCACGATGTTCTATCGCTTTTGGGGATGTGATCTTCCATGGTAACCCTTATCCCCTTAGGTCAGGCTCATAAGCAGGCTCTTTCATGGGCTTTTCACGACCAGTAAAATTTTGCAGGGATCCTTTGTCATCTCTTATTACCCTTCCTCCTACCCTTGTCATCAATTGGTGTTGGTGGTCAGATATGACACGGGTGTCCAGATTCCTCCTCCTCATCTGGTTTTCCACATTTCATGAACACATTCCTTCGGGTTGTGTGGGTTGATCAGCTGGAAGATTTAGGGCTTTTGGTCAGTGGCCAAGAGGTCTTATCCTACCAATGTTTTGGAGCTTCTCATCTAGTAATGCTCCATTTCGACTTTTCTTCAGTGGTTACTTATCACCAGGATGGCACCTGTTCTCCATCCCTTTGAATCATATGTTGGATCTTCTTTTTGGGCCTACACCCTCAACCAGATTCAACACCTTATCTTTTCCCTGGTGTCTCATCTCTGTCGTCCATTGGAGGAAATTCTTCAATTGGTCATGTGGACCACACCACATACCTTCATCTTTCACTATGTGCACTGGATTATTGTCTTCCACCTCTTGCCATTCTTCAAAATTTGGTGAGACTGTGACTGGGGAAGTTATTTTTTTGTATATATCTACTTCTTATTTTTCCCCTTTTTTTCTTTATGGACTCCACTTTGTGGCAAGTCGTGCCTGTTCAAGTATACTTAAACTAATCAAATCTGCACTATAAGGCTATGATGTCTTAACAGTTATGCTTTCCATGGCCACAAAATGCACACTCTTGAGATGGGGTGTTCCACAAGATCACTCATAGGTTTTTCTTCATGATATATTTGCTTTGTTAATATGCCCATTCCAGACCATACTAACTCATGGACTTCATGAGTAAAGCAGAAGGGGATAGCTGCTCATCCCTGCAGTTCTTTAGATTGAATAAATCGGGAGTGATCTGCTTTTCAAAATAGGGTTTTTTGTGGTCATCTGTTTAACTGTCTCCAGTGTTGACATTCCTCCAGACTCTCCATTGTGTTTTCTTACAGTGGAGTATGGGAGTCCTTACCTCTTTCCAGTTTTAAGTTGCTGGGGTGGTGTAACATGGAGGCATCCTCCTGAATGTGATAGTGATATATGATACAAACAATAATGAATCCATTCAGTTAAGAGTAGGGCAGTGGTGTTCTGTTGATGCAGAAGATGATATATCATCCAAAATGGCACTCCATCTCTGAATGGTGTCTATCTGAGGGGATGTTGTAGCTTTGGAGTGAGCTGTCAAAATTGCAGTTCACTCATTTGATTGGGATCCCTCATCCTACCCCCATATGGATGTTGGTTCTCAATCACTGAGTTTTGGATTCAGAGTTTGACCAATCAACATAAGTCCTCACACATGTATTATAAGTGTCTTTATTCCCTCACTCAATTGGACTCATGTTCACTGCTACCGTGTTGTGGGTCATGGTGGATGAACATGTAGGTTACTACAGTTCTTCCTCTTGCACTATTCTTTGAAGATTTTTCATATACTGAGTATGTTACTATGCTGGGGGTGGTTCCTGTCTGACTGGTTTTGAATGGGATATTTCACAATACAGGGATATCTTTATTATTCTTATCATTTGGATGTTGGGTTCCCGGATCAGTAAAATGTTTTATTGCTTTGTTATTATGTGCCCTGTTCACAGATCGGTGGGTATGATATCTTCTTCCAGTCTGCTGAACTTGAGGTGAAGACAGTATGATCCTCTTTCCTACACTCGCATGGATGTCGGTTCCCAATGGCTCAGCTTTGGATGCAGTTGACTTGTCGTGTACAATCCGTTGTACCCTAGCCACTCTACACCTTGAAGCACATCCTTTTTTACTCTCACCCACATTAATGTCATCACAGGGGTTGAGATTCAGATATTAGGTGGTTTGGATCTCTGTCTAACCATTGTTTTCTTTCTTTTGGATGTATTCCATTTTCTGCCCATGTCTACGACACCTCTTTTCACAGTGGGCATAGTGTATACCTGGTACAGAAGTGGTTCAGTCTCCCATGTATGATCATCAACTGTGAGGATCTCCCCTTTTAGGGTGTTTTTCGGATGCTTTCGAAGGATGCTTCTCTCTTTCCCTTGCACTGGTCTTTATACCTACTCAATGTGGGATTCAATGTTTACATGAGTGAAGGTAAAGTACCATATAGGAAGTTATAACTTACTCTTCCCACCTTTCCTCCCTGCTAATCACCAGTGCTTCCTTTTTCTACCAAAACTTGAAGTGATACTTTGGTAGAATCGAATAGAGGGAGTTGCAGGCATTAGGAGAGTGTGTTGCACACCTACTGGTGGAGGGTTGTCGCATGATGATTTACATGTGAGACATGGTTGAACCACATTGATCATGGGAACTCAAAGGCTTGTGGCATGCAAAATAAATTTACATAAAGAGGGCAGCACTAAACTAGAATAAATTTATTTGAAGAGATAAATACCTATTGGAACTATATTTTTAGTACAGGAAAATTATAACTTCAGATGAAGTATAAAAGGATAAAGAAAGCTTAAAAAATCAGGACTGTAATTGTAGTGAAAATTCTTCACAGGCTTCTTCTCTTCTACCAACATATGACCAAACTAAGCTTTTATTACTTTGTTCTGATCTCTGTGGAAATTGCAGCTCAACTGGATACATTGTTTTTACAGTTTAATTTAAGCAATTGGTAAAAGAACTTTCATGACATATTTAGACCAGCAGCCTATGTCTTTTCGATGTTGAGATTTAGGCAATTGCATCAGACCATGACAACTGATGTTGAGAAATAGTGATTAGTTAAAAACTGATAAAACTACACTTGTATGCAGGTTATAATGACAAATGAGCACTATTTTTTTTTTTCAAAACTATTACGACTTTCCTTCAAAGGATCTACAAGTGTCATAATATGCTCAGAAAAAAAAAATGTAGGAAATTCTAAAACACTAATGATTTCCTTAGAAGTGCACTGAAACTAACCCAAAAATCAAAATTTTTGCTTCTTTTCAAATTTTAATGTATAAGATTTAATAAATAGGATTTTTTTTTTTTTTACTGAACAAATATTATGTGGGGAAAAATGACTAAAAGTTTATTTTTTATGATTTTGAAAATTCATTGTGTAATTTTGCCCTCATTGGGATCATTTGGAGAGTCAAAGAGTTAGTGTTTTAATTTTTTTTTCTTTTTTTGCAAAGGATTAGAATTTTCATCTGAATGTTTTTAATAAATTGCTAATTAATAAGGCATTTTCAATTCACTTTCCTGTGCTTCTTAGTTCCTAAAATATAACTACTGGAGATGTACTTGATTTATTATTTAGTGATCTGGCTTGTATTAAGCATATTGTCAGAAAACAGGCCTATTCTTATCCTAAAAATATTGTTGATTTTTCTGACATGAATCTAGAAAAAATAGCAGTATTCTGTGACTGAAGCTGTTGTGTTATTCTGGAAATGAAAAGATGATATCCAATTGTTGTAGTAACACTATTGCAAAATTTCTACTAATACATTTTCTTTTGAAAAGGAGTGGAAAAGTTCATTCACACACATATAAACTGTGTATATAAGCAACCACAGAATCCAGATGACTGTTCAGTACACAGTGAAAAAATAGTAATTTGATAGTGTATGTGTTGTAGTTCAGTAGGCAATCTGTTTTATGTAATAATTTCAAGGCTGAATACCACCTTTCTTCTAAGTAAATATGAACACTGAGTGATTTTAACCATACTCCTCTTATTCTCATGCTACTTTCCAGGTCCACTTCTTGTAAGTTAAAACAAGAATGTTTGTAATGATCTTATTTTCTGTTTTATTTTTAAGCAACTCTATATCTTACTTGGTCTGGTGATAGGATTTTCTGTACACAGTTCTACTTCAAGAAAATTCTTTTAGGAATATCAACAACCTTACTGTGTAATAATGATTTTAATACTTCCCCAAAATGTTAATACAACACTTGAAAATGCTACAGAAATTGATAGTATTATACCATTTTAATTATACAAATGTTCTGCAGACAAGTTGTCCATGCTAATAAAGCTTATAATAAAATGAATTATGCCTCAGAAGAAGGTCCAAAAAGTTAGTTTTACCCACACTTAAATCTTGATGGTTTTAAGCATCAAAAATTCATTGTTTCTTTATTTTTTTACGTGCTATACATATGCATTGGACACATATCTAATCATTAATCTGAACCATGAAAATTAAAAAATGAATTAGTACATTGCTCTGAGGTAACTCATTTTTGGACATTCCTATGTATGAAGATCATCAAATAGTATAAATTGATAGAGTACCTGTTCTTCATGTACTGAAGGCATTATAATGTCTTTCAATGCAAAATTTTTGTTTACAGTTTTACATGAACATGTAGAGTTCTAAAACTTATAAGGAACTTTGCATAAATAATCCATAACTTATTCAAATTTTTCAGGCAATAAATTGATATGATTACAAAGTAAGTGAGTTTTTTTCAAATTGCATTTTTTTTTGTAGTATTCTGTGAATAAATCTAGTATTTTAGGCTTAAATGTAATTATACATCACAGTAGACTGCCAATGATTAAATATAAAATAGAGGTAATTCCCCATATAGGTTTGAAACCAAGAGTTTGGTGGCATTTAGATATTTCCTTATCAACTGTTTGTCTCTTCTTAATATGATTTCATCTCGAAGTTTCTTAAATTACTTGACCATAGGTTAAAGAGTGAAAATTATAGAGCTACATATAATGGAAGGAGTAAACATCAAGGCAGACAAAACTAACTTGTATTATTTAAGCATAGTGTGTGGGCTCAAATAATTTTTTATAAAGTTTTATTAGGAATATATATATATATATATATATATTTATATCCATAAGTTTATGATATATATATATATATATATATAAATTGATAGAATACCTGATGATTAGTTCATCGAAGCAAGCCATGTCTCTTAATATAAGAGGTTATATAGTTGGAAAACATTTTTAAAACTGTGTGTTTGAATACTCTTTTATAGCTATTGCTTTATGGGATTAATGTTTTTAGACTCTTAATGTATAATATTTTTTTTTTATTATGGTATTGAAAAAAAATGTTATGCAAAACCAACTTTTGATATTATATTTACAATGGATATTTATTTTACGTAATTGTACTGTAAAGTTTCAAGATCTTGAAAGATACCAATAATTTTGTAACTGTGTTATACTTTTACTGAAAAGCTGATACAAGTATAATGAATATTATTGCTAATTTTGATTATTATACTGAAACCAGTTGTGGAGTCAACATGATTTCAGAATTTGCAGAATGTAATGAGAAATAAAGATTACTTAATTGATCTTCTTGTATAGTAAAGAAAGGAACTGTAAATAGAGTTTGTAAAATTCTTACAAATTTGAACGTACTAGCAGAAAAGGAAATGTATTTCTTTTAAGGTTTGCTTTCATACTAAAAGCTTATTCCATAATGGGGGGGGGGGGGTAAATGTCTAGTAAAATGAAAAGAAAACAAAGTTTACAAGAATTATAATTTTAATGGTAAAAATGGAGGATGCTGAAGTTTATTAAAATTAGAGTTAAAAACATTGTTAAGACTGAAATGTACTAAAAGTCAATTATTAAATTTTGAAAGATGTTATGCTTATACGAACTACAAAAAAGATAATTATAAAAAATATTGAACCTTTAAAAGATCCTAATGGAGATCATTATGGAGTAAAGGAACCTTATCAAAATTTAAAAATTTTACTACTAGTTTTACATATAAGAAGAAAAGGTAATTTATTTAAGAATTTTTAATTTGCTTAAGTGAGGAAGAGCTTTG